GTGCGCTTGCACTTGATTCGTAAAAACAAATCACATGCTTTTTTGAAATAAATCCTCGCCAATTTTTTTCTTACTGCTCAGCCATGGTCACAAAAAGGCGCACAATATAAATTGTCGGAAGCTCTTTCAAACTACATTGTGACAGGACGGGACGATGGCTTCACTCTCCATACTACTTCTCTTTGTTTCTATAGATTTGGCTGTGCAACAACAACTTATGTGCCTCGACGCAGGAATTGGACGTAAGTGAAAAGTACTGCTGGTAAAATTGATAACAATCTTAAGCGTGCTGCAAAGTGCTGCAATAAACCCTTTTCATCTCAACTATGGCTTAAGCACACGAGGTCCGCCTAATTGTATATTTTTTCCCTCAATGATCTATTCTTATCGTTTCTATGAGTTCTGCCTGCTTCAGAATATTAATTTGAACAAAACTGCTTAGAGCCAAAAATAATCCAACGAGTACAAAGCGCAGAGCAACCTGTTGTTCAAGTAAGGCCTGTTTACGAAGCTATAGTAAGTCTGCTGCAGCCAAAAAAAACCCCGGTAGTCACTGTGATGCTAAATTTAAAACGTCAGTGTGTAAAACATAGAGTGAAAAGTGCATCACTACATAATTTTGCTGCAAAGTTAAATTTCAAATTCTGTATGCTAGATACTACAATAGAATGGCTCTGTTACGATTATTGTCAAGAAATCACTAGTCAAAATAAAGAGCATCTTTAGGATAATGCTGAATTTTAGCTGATGAATACAGGATGTCCTCAAAAATGTACTGCTGTTTCACCGATAGGGACTCTTTTGGTTTCAAGTCCCCAGTCGTCATCGATTTATTTATAGGGAGAGCTGTGGTCTCAGATTTTCACTTAGAAATACTTCTAGACAGACTTTTTTCCATTACGGTAAGATTACAATGTGAGGTCGTTGGTGGCTTTCTCGTCGCTGTTACTAAGCACCTATCATCAGATGGTTGGGTAATTAAGTCCATGTTGGGACATCATTTATAATCTCGATTCTTTGCTTGCTAGAGAAAATCCATTGGAAAAAAAGC